GTGGTAAAGATGCCACCTTACATCATCTTCATCCAAACATCTAAACTTTTTGGCATGAGGATTTGGAAAGATTTTCATGATCACAACCCATGAAGGTATTTTCTTTTTATTTACTGAATATTGCTCTATTTAAACAGAAACAAACCGACTTTTAAATGGAAACACATTTATGAGGCTTTGTGATACACACCAAAACCTAACTAAATGTCTTTCATTTTAGGCTAGGTTTATAAAAGGGATGGAAAAAAAATTTCTGGGGTTAAATTCTGGGAAAATGTTTAAAGACAATTCATCTCAATTTCAAGTAGCAGCCCACTAGACGTATATATGGGACCGTCAATGTCAAACAAATACCCATTTAATAATTTTTAAACATGCATAAGTTAAATAAGACATATGTGATAGCAATAAAAGAAACAACAGTCACACCCAAGTTTATTCGTTGAATATATTATTTTATTTTAACGTCATCATCATAGTTTAACTTTTAATTTTCCCTTCATTCATTTAAAATGATCACCTCTTAATGTACACATACTGCAAACTGTCAAAAATATACAAACAAATGCAGGCTTGTGCTATAGTCTGGTCAAATGTTTAAAAAACAGTGGCACTGGAAGGAGAGACGGAGACAGAGACAGAAAGAGAGAGAGACCAAAGGTAGGAGAGAGAGAGAAAAAGACACTGAAACCGGTAAAGACATGCACAGCATCATAGGGAGCACCGGCAGCGGTGATCCAGGTGCGCGGAACCTCATGGAAAAAGTTCATACATTTCCTCGTCTGACAGTGGGTCACAAAACGCCCGCCACATATCGGATTAAAAACAAAATGCTGCTTGTTAATGGAACTCTTAGGCACATCATTGTTTTTTTTTTTTCTGTTTTATATTTTCTGTAAAAGTCTGTAAATGAAGAATGTTTTAACAAAAAAGAAAGAAAACAGATAAAAAAAAGAAAAAAAAAACAGCTTTCAAAAGTCCTTTTGGAATCACTTTTGTTAGTAACTCAACACAGTTACATAATTTGTGTATGAATGCATGTAGTTAAGGTATGTATTTCAGTGTGTGTGTGTTTTGTGTGTGTGTGTGTGTGTGGTGCTTTCTATGAGTACGAGAACACAAGTTGGTGCATTCCTGTAGAACCGATAATGGAAGTGAGTACTTGAGGTGCTGTGTGAGTGGTATCAATGATTGGCTGAGAGCTGACCAATCAGATGCTCAGGTCTTTGGGATTATCCTTGTAGGTCTTCTTAGGCTCAGGGATCATAGGCTTGGTTTGGCGGCTGGTGTCTGACTTGAGTGTGCTGTAGTACTCTCTCACCTTAGCCGCAACAAAATGATCGTCATCTTCTTCATCCTCCGAGTCGTCCCTCCTGGCTGGGGAGATGGCCCGTCCAAGGCTGCGAGCACGGTATCGGGGTTCAGGGGTGCTACCTCGACTGGCAAAGAGCCCATCCCTCTCAACCATCTCAGGTGTACGCCCTCTCAACAGGGAGGTGTACTTCTGGTAGGATGAATCAAAATCAGGGGTGCGGACTCTGGGCAGGGTGACGTCTTTGAAGTTGTCACGGGATGCCATGCCAAGTCTGTCTCCTCTGTAGGCTCTTTCCATGGAGGAGGTTCTCATTAGAAGACTGTCCTGCCCGTAGAGACGATCCTCTCTCTGTAGTGGTGGAAGTGAAAGAGTGGGGTCCCTGTTCAGGCGGTCCAGGGCCGGCGACTCCCGAAGGATACTCTCTTCAAAAGGGAGGCTTGGTTCTGGAGTCCCGGTCATTGCAGCCTCATCTACCGTTGGCTTTTCATTGTTTCTCTCAGTTGCGGTATAACGGTAGGGGTCTGAGGAGCGGTGGCGATGTCTGTTTGGAGAGTGGTAGCGATTGGGGGACCTGTGGCGATGAGGAGAACGGCGAGGAGAGTGGCGATGAGAGCGGTAAGGGGAGCGTCTAGGAGAGCGGTATGGGGAGCGTCGGTATGGTGAGCGGGTTGGAGAGCGGCGATAAGGGGAGCGTCGAGGAGAGCCGTGGCGGTGGTTCGAGGAGTGTTGGCCGTGGCGCCGTTCTGGTGAACGGCCTCGGCGGTGCCCTCTATCACGGCTATCCAGCATGTTGTCTGCACTACGTGAACGGCCCTGCCCCCTATGAGGCGAGCGGTGGCGGCTTCGATGCCGATGGCCTTCTTTTTCCTTGTCATCCTTTTTCTTATTCTGCTTGTGCCCATGCCTTCCTTTAGACTTCTTCCCTTTGGATTTGCTGGGGGAGTGATGACGATGATGGGAACGATGGGGCTTGCCAGTGCCATGGGTGCGACGGCTCGGCTCCGTTTTGCTCCGTGAATGAGGTGGGGGTTCTGGTGGGAAGCTGGACTCTGATGGTGCATTAGTTAGAGGCAGGGAACTCACTTCCGCAGCGTTTTGTATCCTTGTGACTGGGTCAACTGTGCTGATGTCGTTGGGGCTGCCGTCTGCAACACAGTTTGACAAACAGATGAGGCTAGAGTGTTCAAACATGGATCTACACACAAGACTCCACAGACTTTGACAAAAATCATGCTGACTCAGTTAGACATGAAGCTGAGAACATTTCTAATGGAAGCCAATCTGATGTTAAGCAAATGTCAGATGACACAAGTAGCCAATGACAGCTAAAAGAAAAGATATTATGGAGAGGCAGCCAGTGAATGCAAAGGATCCGTTACCAAAACAAACCTGTTCCTTGACCTGGAGAAGGTTACATCTCAGAAGAAATGGGGCTGGACTCCTCAGGATGAAATGTCCTACAGTACATGCAATCAAAGCTGCTGAATTGGGTCGACGATTCATATACTGTGAACTGTTACTCTTGGTAATTTTAATCTAAATACCTAGAAACTATGAATATGCCCACACGTACGATTATCGAAACATATTTGTAGTCTGCTTGAAATGCATGTTGCAAAAAAAATACCCATTCAGCATTCAAAACTTAGAAAAATGATCAATAAATACACTCTCACAGCTTTTAAATAATTAGTTTGACACCATTACTTGAATTTCTGGTGAAAACAAAGATGACAAAGAGTCAGTGTTTAACTTGAAGCTCCCCATTCCAAATTCAAAACCTAAAGAGGCAAATCAAAGCTGGATGATTCATCGCTCTTATCACTTTTATATTGTTTTCCATCTTTATATTTTGACCTCAAATCTGCTAATTTATACAGTAAAAAACAAGTTTTAGTTAAGTTAACCTTTTCAAATAACATTTGGTCTTACTATAAATGAATGTAAAACTTATTCTATAGCTACTCTTCAGTTAATTTCACTAATTGTAGTTTCAAAATCCAGAAGAACTCTCAGAGATTGGTGGTAATTGACAGCATACAGAGTAAAAGTTATACTGCATAGCTGTCAAGTTTTCACTTACTATCAACTCCCAAAACTTGAGCAGATTTAAACTGTAAATACTCTGTTTAGACTAAAACAGGTAGAATGTTAATTTTAACACCCAATTTCTCACTATGTATACGCCACTATTTGCTTTTCTGCCTGTGCTCCCAACTGAGAGAAAATAAAGGATATTTCTAGAACTCATGGGAATGTCTCAGTGCTTCAAAGCTTTTAATTTAATTGATAAAGATCTGGACACAGAAGCAAGGTTATTGTTTAACTGATCACAACATCTTCACAACTAAAACACTCTAATTTACACTGACTCTCATTTAAACCATTGGATCGACTTATTCCACATAAAGGAGATCCAGCAAAATTTAACTAAAGGACCATTTTACTTTTAATTTAGTTTTATTTTTCTTACAGAGTCTAATCCATGGGTCGTCAGAATTTAATATCAGGTGAAAATGTTTTTTTTTGTTTTTGCTGTTGAAATGCTGCAGTACTTGTTGCTTTAAGAACAAACCTATTTTTTAAGTTGTTTTCTGACTTATTTTCTACAATTAGACCAGCAACCAGAAATAAATTCTAAAACAGAAAACCTCTGCAATGGGTTCAAAATAGTTTGATTCATCATGGCACCACTATAGCAATAATTATCAAAACCCTCCCATTCATCTCCAGTCTGAGCTGCCTTTGATCTTTTATCTCTAAAAACATTTCATCTGGGTAATTCTAGTATACTGGAATGAAAACAGACTTGTTATTTTCTAACATAAGGACTATTTTGAGAGCAATAAAGAACATTTCCTAAAGGGTAATGTTTATGCTGTTACGAAGCACAAACAGTTGAAAAATGTATGGTTTTTCTCATTCTGAAATGTTTTATGCTTTTAATTTACTCCCTTTTTTATTTGGATTTAGATATATTAAAATTCTTCAAAGATTGAAGTTATATTTGGAACCAGATCCAATAAAAGAGCGCTCATTTACTGGACTTCTGTCTTATTCTGGTCTTCTATCAGCTGCTGATTTTAGGGAATGCCACTGCATTGTTTGCCTCCGTCCTCTGAAAATTCTTGACAAAAATCCTTCAGTTTAACTTTTACTAAAACGTGCCTAAAAAAACTGCATCAAACATCGAGTGGAGGTCCCTGGGAGCTATCACTATGCACAGAAAAGACACTTCTCAAACCAGTACTTTGCACCTAATTTTCAGATTTGCAGACTTTAAAACCAAAATGAAGAGCAGGAGGTGCGCAGCGTCAACACCAGCAAAGCGTTTGGATGAACGGCTGTATATGCATGGAGCAGAGCACAGGCATGAGTGATCTGAGGCCACAGCACACACACCAGGAGGAAGAGAGAAAGAGACGGGGAAAGCCAGATAACAGAGGAGGACGGTCACAAACCGTGGTCGGATTTTGGAGGACAGAGGCCTCCCCCATCTTGTCATTTCTCACACTTGCTGTGAGATGGGGAGCGGCCATCCCTGAAGGAAGACAAGAGCCCCGCGCAACACACAGAGAGGAGAGCATACACAAAAACAGAAAAAAAAAACAAAAAAAACAAAACAAAACACAAAAGTTTAGATTGATTGGAACCAACTGGAAAAAAGACAAGGGAGAATTACAGATTGTGTTGATTCTTATTGGAAAAAAAGTGTTTATTTAATCATTCAGAGTAAAGAGACAGTCCAGGAAGTTGCCCAAACCCTTCAGTGAAAGCCACCAGTTACACAGAACAGTGACAGCCCCCACCACCACAACTCAAACATACACTCAACCACACACACACACACACACACACACACTTGGACATGTTGACAATGAAGCAGCAGAAAAAATAAATTCAAATCCTGAAAATCAAAAGAAGAAACACTGGCAAAGCTGGCAAAAAGGTTTCTGTCAACTTAAAAAAAATAATAATAATACAAACAATGGTCAAAAATATACAAAGTTCTCATGACGCCATATCGATTCAGATAATTGCAAATAAACATACACAAGCAAATGCCTTTCCACTCAAAAAGAAAAAGACGAAAAAAGCAAGACAATGAAAAATGTCCATGACTGTTGACTATCAATCAAAACCTTTTCTATACAACAATTAAAAAAAGAAAGGTTCCATAAATATTATGGAAAATCGACAATAGAAGGGGGGCGAAAAAACTTCAAGTTGACACTCTTGACACGTTCATGCAGCAATAAACTTTTTCTCCATTTATATGTGGCTTTGATTCATGGCTCTATACAATGAACAAAAATACTTGTAAAAATGTCTTTTCATTTCATCACTGTACAAAGCTTTATATAAGCGCCACAGCCTGGTTTCTTTTTACACTGGGATGTGTGGAGTCAGGTGTTTTGAATCTTCACAGCATTTTAATGACACTGACAATGAGTGAGGAATGTCAAGCACAGCAAAGCGGAAAATAAAGAGCAAAAATGGCATCTAGAGAACCTAGGATCTGATCAAAGTGTACATTTAAGTCAAATGGTGAAACTGGGTTTAAACAGGACTCATTACAGACAGTGATATATTTCAAGATTTTATTTCTGTAACCTTTGATGATTCAGGTGGACTGCTAAAAAATGCAATTCAGTTTCTAAGAAAATCTGACTAGTATTTTTATGAAAAGTTACATTATGGCAGTGCTGTTTGCTGCTTAATTAGTCCAACTCACTGTCTTTGAAACTCTGAACAAGGAGGAATAGCTACAAAAAGGCCACTATTAAAGAATCTGGCTGATTACAGTGCAAATCAATGCAGAGCTGACGGGAAGAAAAAAAACTAAGGTACAAAATAGGGGGCACCTACACCAGGACATTTTCCAGGGATTGACAGATTGGACACTGGCTATTAACAAGAACAGGAAACTATTTCAAAATGAAACCACTGAGAAAATATTAGCTGTGTCTCAACAAGACTGAGGTGAAAAAGACCAGCTGCACAGTTGTCAAATTCTCTCTTTAAAAAAATCAAAGAGTAAAGGTCAATGGGTAACGGAGGAGAAGCGGACAAACATGAAGGTTTTGATCAATGGAGCCGTTTTGTCTTTTTGAGTCTCCCAGGATATTTAGCTGTATTTCATGCTTCCTCTTTTTCCTCACAAGCTATTAGAACATTTAAATTTCTCAGTGAGACCTGGCACCTACCCACAATAACAACATATAGATTCCTGCTCTGTAATGTGGCCGAGGAGGTTCTGAGTTCAAGTCCTGCACACTCCAACAGACTGCCACTCTGGGTCCCTGAGCAAGACCCTTAACGGTGGACAGCACCAACAGTGCCCCCCAAGGGGATGGGTTAAATGCAGGGGTTAAATTCCCCATTGTTGGACAATAAAGAACTTCCAATATTAATGCCCAAGATATCAAAGGTCCATCATCGCTAACAAGCTGCAGGCTTCTGTTAGAGCCAGCTGGGCTTCCTAATCACCCACTCAGAGCCACCGGCTGATCACCGCTACAGAAATAAAGACCTGAAATATATCACTTGATGTGCAATTCATCTATATGATTTCGAACTAAATTAGATGTTGACTTTTAAAAGATAGTTCCATTTATTGGATGTGCTTGTATTAGGCTGCCTCTTCGTTTTCTTACAGTTTTCACTTCAACCCTTTAGGAGTTCAGTAGCTTACATTCACCTCCAATAAATATCATAAATATGTTTGTGTCACAATGAAGCCATGCTGTGAGGCGTCCCATCATTTACGGGAAGCATAGAATCAAGTTTGTCCTTTTCTTGTAATGCTGAACTGGTGTTTAATAATAAGCTAGAGCAATATATGTCACTTCTTACTTAGAAAAAAAAAAGATTTTTTTTTTTTCCATCCTCCTCTGGTCATTCAAACCTGTAAACACTAAACGTTGCACTGAAATTAGGCCCAGCACCTTTCTGTAAAGTCCCAACAGTGTGCTTTAGATGAGCGGCCCAGAAGGTGGAAAGTGACAGCGGGATGAGATGGAAACTGAGAGCAGGCGACAGCAGGAGGGCCAACAGCACCCAAAGAAGCACCCTCTCAGCTCCTTTGCACCAGAATCCAAAAGCACAGGAGTGACCTTCACCACAGAGAGACTTTAAAGCCAAGCAAAACCTCCTTCCTGTCCTGTCCTGGGTGAGCGGTTCAGTTCTTTGCCCCTTCAAACCCCACCACCGTCCAGCTCAGGGTGTGAAGATGGGGGAGAAGGGAATGTTTTCGTAGATTGACCCACCATATTCAGGCACGGAGCCGTCACCCCTCTTGAGCACCAGGTGGACGTTTCGGCCTCCGTTCTTGATGAGCTCGATGGCCCGTGCGTGCTTCATGCCTTTGGTGCTTTCGCCGTTGATCTCCAAGATCTCATCTCCAACCTGCGGGAACAAGGCGGGGGGAGATGAGGAGAGGCAGAGTGACATGTGAGGAGGGGAAGCAGAAAAACGAGAGGAGACAGTGGCAGGAAAACAAATGACAGGAGGGAAGGAAGGAAGGAAGGACAGAGACGTGAAAGAAGGAGGTTCAGAAAGACGTTGTCAGAAACACGGAGGGAAGGGGTGGACAAGTTGACAAGAAGTTACATTTTGAAATCCGACTGACAAAAATTCACTGAAGCCACTTTTTTCTCTGCTTTTCTTCAACAGTTTTACAGAAAGCAAATCAAAAGGCAGAAACTGTGACGCCGAGAGACGGGAGGGAAAACAGGAAGCAGGAAGAAACATTTTTGGTTTTCTTGAACACCCCCCGCCCCCCCCCAGGTTAGCTGTCAGAGCAGCTGGCACCAGGGGAATACTGCTTTGGCAGCGAGCAGCTCTCTGTCTGACACATCTCTCTGCCTCACAGAACTGCTGCTGCTGCTATTAATAATTCTTCTAAATAAGCTGCACTCAAAAAACTGCAGGGTTCAGACATGCATGTACAAATGCTCCAATTACACCAACTTACTGTCTTTCCTTACTGAGCAGAGAGAAAATCAATTAGCTTTCTAATTTGTGCAGGATCTTTCAGAGTTCTCAGCACGGTCTGACAAGCAAACACATTGGGAGACTCTTAAAAAGATGTATCTGCATATTGTTTACCCAGCCCATCGTGCTTATTGTAACACACCCTGCATAATGACAGCTGTGGCATTATGGATGCCAATTTATAAGCTTCTACTGAGAAAGTAACTCAGCAAATCAGGATTATACTCCTTAATGATGCTGCAACAATGACAGGTGCTGTTATCACACTACAGCTCAGCTATAAAAGGGATAAAAAAAGAAAAGAAAAAATTTTAACTTATCATAGCAGCCAGCATTTTAAAGCCCTCATAATGACCCCTCCCCTCCCATTGATTTGTAACAGAATCGGTTCAAATAAAGCCCAAAGATATCGATCCAATTGCTAAAGACCCTCTGTTGTATTTTCTATCAATGTGAGGACAGTTACTACCCCACTAATTCACCTGTTAACATCAGTTGGTTGCACTTTGAAAACACCCAACTAAATGTGTTTAATAACTCTACAAATCATTAAGACTGTGTTGCAGACGAGAGCTAAAGCCAAAGGGGCACGATTTTTCGATGGCACCTTAAAAAACTGGTTTTGTACCTTAAAAATGGTTAAGAATCTAAAAAAAACAAACATAGATGCCCTGTTAAGATATGCTGCAGAGATGTGTGTGAAAGAAAAACACACAACTTTAATCAGATTATATAGAGATATTATCGTCAGACTTGATTAAATTTGCTCCATTCTGTATAATAAACAGGCTATTAGTGTCACTATATCACAGTCACAAAAAAATGAAACAAATTTCCTCAACCTAATTCCTCAAACACGTTTTTAATGACTATGAAATACGAAGTGAGAGCTGGGATGAATTTGGCTGAATTGAAGCTCAGGAGACTAAGGCAGGCCTTTAGAAAAAAAAAAAATACTTCTAAGGGAAAAAGTATTGTGGTTTCAGACCGAGCGAACATGTAGAGTAATGTTTTGGGATCTGTTCCAGGTCAAATTAAACGGCACCGTCACTGCTGCAGGGAAAAGGGCATAAACACAATTCATCATCAACATTTACCACTGTTTCATTTGAGAGACAAGCCTCAATGAAAAAGCTGACTCACATTTTAAATATCATCTACAATTCATAGGAAAAACAATCCAGACACCACATTTACTGGAGGAGAGAGAAAACTAACCCTATATCTATAATCTGGAAAATGAAAAGAAAAGCAAACTTCGTGTTTGATGAAGCAGGGATGTTTATGAACCTTTTGGTTTCCTTTTGTGAGAATTCTCGGTATTAGGTGTTGGTTTTTCCTAATTTGTGTTATAGGTGTTGAAGATTAATTTGTTAATCTAAGGAATTGGGGTTTTCTTTATCAACAAAGTGAAATCAAGTCAAATAAACAATAAGGATTTGAACATTTTAGGGGCAATATAATTAAAAACTGGATATAAAAGGTTGTAGACCCCTGGGTTAGAACCTTTTACTCAAAGAGCCATTTTGACCTGAATTGGACCAAGTAAAAGTCGTTTAGAGCTTCAAAATGTTAATTATCTGCCATAAAAAAATCTGTTGCCACTGCAAACAGCCAACAGTATATTTTTATACTGAGCTTTTAAAATGATGAAGTATCTTTATTTGATGTAAAATGATAATAATATAACAAAATTTCCTAAGCTAAATAAAATAAAAATAGCTCTAAAAGCTATTGCTTTTAATGTCACTCTGTAGTGAAAATTCTATTAAAATATTTTTTTATAAAAACCAATAATGCTTTTAAGGCAGGTATTTGTTAATTTAGTACATTAGTTTGTTGTTTATATAATTTTTAGCCCTTATTAAGAGCCAGTGTAGAGGGTCTAATGAGCCGCAGGTTGCAAACCCCTGCCTTAATTAAACATCTTTACTGAGCGAGTTTATAGAGCTAAAATAATTAAACTACTGTGGATCGCATCAGGAGAGTGTCTAAAATACATTGTTTCTTATAAACTTTGAGTTTATCTGGTGCAATTTCATATTTTATGCGAATCCAAACGATATCGAGAACAAAAGGTCTTGGATTTTTGGTGTAGACACATGGAGCTTCTGCGATAACGTGTCCATACCCTCATTTTCCCATTGCGAACAGCAGCTCCTTCTTCAGCAAGCCTCAGCACGTACAGGTCCATGTTGTACTCTCTTCCTCCCCGCAGGCTGAAGCCAAAGCCTTTGTTGTCCCTCTCCAATTCCACAGAGTAGAACACGGAGTCCTGTGAGGAAGCATGGACATTAATAGGGAGAAGAAACAGACGTGTTGGTGTCAAGGTCATGTATTTGTGATTCGTGTGTTTTTTTTAAAAAACTGGCTCCAATTTCAAGAGCAAGGGACAAATACCACCTCCAGGAAAGACACACCCAGTTAGCAGATGTGCCAGAATGTGTGTGGGGGGTGTTTGTGTGTGTGCATATGCTCAGGTGTAAGGATGCTGAATTATTGATGCTTTGGGCTCTAGGCATACAAGAGCCAGACTGGGCAGCGCAAGGACAGGCAGACAGTCTGCAGCTTTGTCTTCATGCCCTCCTAATCTCCTCTGCAGAGGGATCAATGTTATCTAGGAGAGCCATCTCCACAACAGCAGATTAATTCAGCGGTGAACACAATGGACTGAGGAGGTACTTTGAAAGTAAACAGGCTCTTCTTAAACGCTCAGACTCAGCCGCCGATCACACAGAGATAGATAAATAAAAATGCCCCCGTTTGTCCTTGAGAAGGTGGGTGGGAGTATGAGCTGGAGGGGAGGGGAAGGAGCTCGATGTGTGCTTAGATGTTCTAGCCGCTCGAGTGGATGAGTGACAAGACAATGGGGATTTGGTTAGAAATGGTGAGTGCTTGATGGAGACATGAAACGGTTGAATGGACAGGTGAACGACTGGTGTGTTTTTACATACCTGAGCTGAGTCTTGCTGGATGGGGGGCTGGGGAGCAGTGTTCGTAGGAGCTTTAAACTCGTAAGATTCCTGTTTTGGTTTAGTGTTGGTCCTGAAAGTAAGAAAACAGTAAGTTACAGTTTGGGTTAATAAGTTAATCAGAAAGGATTTGATCAGACTCGGTCCACAGTAAACTTTGCAGAGGAATGCTCACCTGGCCTCAGGTGCTGCCTGTTGCTGAGCTGTGTGAGTGGTGGTTATGGTGGCAATCTTCTCTGCATTTGTCAACAAAGATGCATTGGATGACTCTGTAGGAATGAGACCAAAGGAAAGATTATAATCACAGTTTGAGAATCAAAAGCTCTCAGAGATCGCAGACCTCCCCAAAGCAGCAGATTTTGCACCATATTGTGACTTACACCTTTGATCTGGATCATTACCAAATTTTAATGAATTGGTACTGGGCAAGAGGCGCACCTCTGGTAGAAATTTCCTTAATATCTTTTCTTAACTTTTCAAGCTGCTTTCTTCTTTGATCAGCAGAGCAAGACTTCAAGAGAGGTGTAGCTCCCTTTTCTTCTGTTTTTCTATGTTTGTCTTTAGAATAATACTTAAGGACCTTTTGAGTCCTATGCTTAAGTTATCAAATGTCACTGCTGATCCCTCTGGTTTATGGTGGAACTGCTTGTTCCGCAAAATAATGTTGGTATCCCTGAGTTTCTTTATCTGGATTATGATCTGGATAATCTAGAAAATGTACTTGATTGTTACTTGGCATGAGGTTAACATTTAATTATAATCTGTTCAGAGCCTTTCAAGTAATCCTGCGAACTAATGTGACCTAAAATGTGACCAAAACCTTCCCTTTATTACCACCTTAGCGAACCAACCAGACAAGAAGATAACTTTAAATATAAAATTCAGTCCAAACTATCCTTGACCATCTTTCCTTGACCAGTTCCAATTTCAAAGAAAAAAACTAAACCTAAAGTGGTGTGTGGCCCTTTGTAGGGAGGAGCGGAGGGAGAGAAGGATTTAAGCAGTAGTTACCCACTGTGGTTTCCAAAATTTCTTCCTTTTTCAGAGTTTGTTTTGCTTCACCTGCCTAAATCAAATTGCATTACCCCGCCACCATTTCACCTGCCTTCACCTGAACTCTGGATATTCTTTAACACTTCCCATGAACCCCTCTCTGTTCAGAGAACATAAAACCTTCCTCATACGTTTGCCTTTTCCTGATGTAGCATAAATCCATAATTTACTGTATTTGCATAATCAAGGCCTATCTGGCGTTCCAGGAGACTGTGATGGATTAAATCAATCTTTCACACTGGGAACATTTCCTCCCTTTCAGTTTGAACACTTGTGGCCATTCAGCAGCTGTCAGCTACAAACATTAGCTGACCCAAAGAAAGCCCTGCAGCTCCACCTGCAGCTTCTTAGAAACCACCCAGGAGACCTGCATAAAACAGCAGCTTTTGCTGTCAATCATCTTCTGAAAGCACCTGTCACTTTTCACTTCCACATGAAAGGTGTGCATCTCATTTTCTGGCTGGGAACCGATTGTCTGACACAAACGCTCCTGGTTTTTCTGATGTGTGCAGTTTTTTGTTTTATGAAAACACAAAGCAAACATTCCTGCTGCATTAAGGAAGGCCTCTACACCATGTAGGCGTTCCTCCTGCAGCCAGCTGGGTACTCTATTAATCTGCCTCGGGCCATTTTTCCCACAGTCGACTTCACTTTGCAGTATTCATCCCTTTCTCTTCCACAGATAAGATCGGTCGGGAGAAGTTTCCTCTCAGATTGAAGGTTAGCTTTTGCAGATCCATAACGATCATAAAAATCTATTAACCCTCCCCGTCTTTCCCTGCTTCTCTTCCCCAACCGTTTCCTGTCAGTCTTTCCACTCTGCAGGGGAACCACTACCTTTCATCAAAAATCAGTCATAAACTGTTTTTATTTCACTTTTCTCTTAGTTTATAGATCTATACTCCTAAACCCAAAGGAGAAAAGAAAAAAGGAAAAGGTAACATACAAAAGGATAAAAAAAACTGACTACTTTAGTGAAGCATTTAAACCTTTTGAGCATTTGTCATTTTGAACCAACAAACTCTCCTTGTATTCTACTTGGATTTTTTTTATAAGGCAGACCAACCAAGCAGCGCATGAGTGGAAAAAGGATGACATATTATTTCAGAATTTTTTTTATACATTAAATGTGTAAAATTTAGTGCATTTTATTCCTGCATCCAAAACACTTTGTGCCTGAATACAGAGCAAATCAGCTGTGCACTGAATGAGACTTAAAACTGGGGAGACTTAATATATACAGCTAGAAATGCAATGAAATGACCGAGATCAGAGAATGTTTACTTGGAAGAATGGCCTAGTCAAAGTCCAAATCTAGGTACAAGCAAGTATTCCTGGCAAGACTTAAAAAAACTAATGTTTACTGATCACCCCAAAACAATCAGATAAAGCTGGAGGTATTTTGGAAATAGGAACGAGTGGAAATATTCAAAGCAGTAAATGTAACCTCAGTGGAAATGAAAGGAGATTCTACAAAACACAGACTGATGGGCACTGAATACAAATGCAAACACATTTTATAGCTTTACTAGTAATAATACTAAGAAAAAAAATGTTTCCTTTTTCCTTCATACTAACACACTACCAATGTCCTGGAATAACCAGAAAACAAACCTGCACATTAGAGAAAGAACAGCTGAACTGTGGAAGAAGCTCTTCCTGCGGTAACAGCCTCAGACATTTCATAGATCCACCAAAAAAATACAAAAAAACACTCGTAAACAGAGGTGGGGAGATCCATTTAGAAGCTCTACTTCTAAAATCAAACCTCAGTCTTTTCAAAGCCCTCCACAGCAGACAGTCTGGTTGACACATGCTCATAAAAACAAACAGGAACTTTCCTGTAAAGCATATCTAGTTATTTCTCCCTAGTGCTTTCTTGCAAGCCCTGCGCGTCTTTTTGTCAGGGCAATTTCCTCTCACTGTTCTCATCAAGTTCTCTGGATGTTCATGTGAAGTGAACTGGAAATCAACGATGCGGACAAACGGCTCAATTCTCCAGCGGCTCTCGGATTGATGGGGAGCAACACAAAAACCGTTAATCAGACGCAGTGATTTTTAAGCGAAGCACAACACATAAAATGCACAAGACTCTTTATTTAAAGCTAAAGTGACAGATTCACCACGCCCGCACACACGCAGGAAGTTCTAGCTCATTCTTATTCTCTCTTGCACACAAACAAACAAAGAGACAACTAAATTACTCCTGCATGCTCTGAAGGCGAGGGCATGCTAAAGGCGAAACTGCAACTGCTGGGGAAAATTCACAAACAACCCACAAGAAGCTGCTCTGTCAGGGCGCCATGCTCACTTTAAAAAGGCGAGAAGCTGCAGCTCTACACAACACAGAAGAAAACATGAAAACTATTCAATTTTTCACTTCTCAAAGCATAATTGTGAGAATCAACTTGTTGAAAAAAAGATGAAATCCCAGCGTGAAGCTACTGCTGCCTACTCACCATCTCCAGGAATGATCCGCAGCGTGACGGTGTTCCCAGCCTCCTTGATCAGGTTTACGATGTCAGAGTGAGACTTGTTGGTGATGGAGTTCCCGTTGACAGCCAGGATGCGGTCGCCCACCTTCAGCTTCCCGCAGCGGTCCGCTGGACTCCCCTCGATGATGCGGCCTATTTTGTGAGGCATGGCCACACATGCATTTCCAGCTTTGGTCAACCATTGACATGTTGTGATGCACGATTCAGTGTGTGTGTGTTTTTTTTTGTGTGTGTTTCAAGAGATGGGAAAAAGGGTGGGAAAGGAGCAGAGAAAGAGGATCAAGAGAGTTGAGGGTTATTTCACCAGCAGCCCAAAGCAAGCACAGCCAAAGTCACTGAGAGAAGAAGAGCGGATCGACACGTGTCACTGTTATATGCAAAGAGGACCGCATGTAAATCTGATCTGTGGAGGAATCAGACTGGATCATGTTTTTTTTCATTAAAAAAAAACTCAATATAGGGTTTCTATTTTTCTATTTATTTTAGTATTTCAATCTCCAGAAATGTACACAAAATCCACCCGGTGTTCAGCAACATAAGACTTTATCAATGAATAACTGTCAGTTTTTTGTCTTATTTTTGTATGAGGAGTTTCATTGGCTAAACAAAAACAGAAAAAGAGATCTAGAGATGTAGCGCTTTTTTATATTTTCCCGTCCTCCTTTAATTTAATTCTGAAAATGATTCGCTCCTGTTTAAATGTTGACTTGTTGAGATATGTGGTTAAAGAATTTATTTCAGCATCTCTGTAAACGCCTCTAACTGAACTAACCGGTTTAGGATCGCAAAACCTAATTTATAATTATTTTTATTTAATACATTAAAACTACCAATGTCAGAAGTTCCTGCCTATTAACAGCTTAAATTGTTGAATCTACTGTGATGTTAATAATAACTCAAATGAAGGTTAGAGAGGTACAGTATGCTTTCATTCCTAAACAGCATTAATCATTCATCAATTTTTTTTAGCTGAATATAATTTTTTTCCATTTTTTCAAACAAGTTTTGCCTCATTGTTTTTCTGTTTTAAAGTTTTCAGTGGAAAAGTAAAGAAAAAAAATAACCAAAAACTGAATCAGAAGTTAAAGCAGAATGGGTAAGTAAGGTCATGAGTGCATCTCCATAAAAAGCCTTCTTCCCAGACAAACATCCTGCTGCCAGGCAGTCCCCAGAGTTATGCCAGGAATAGAGAATGAAAAGGCTGAGAAGACGACTCATTTTCTTAGAGGGTATCAACATAGTCTACTCATAATCTCGATGCAAATCCAGTCAGATGAATTAACACAAATACTCGTGTTGTCAGTTTTTTTTTGTTTTTTTGTTTTTTTTGCATCTAGCTAGTGTCTAAAAAAAACAGCCAAACAGAAATTGACTCAAAGAAAGTCAGATTATTTTCCAATCTTAAACAGAAAGTTGAGACGAAAGTTAAACGCAGAGAACGCTAAAAGAGAAGAGAAAAATCCAGACTCAAGGACCATATCAAATGTATTTTTTAAAATAATCTCTTGTGCATAGAGCAGTGGTTCCAAACTCAAATCCTCCAGGGCCCATTATTTTTGTCCCATCTCCATGAACACCAGAACCAAATGGATAAACCGTCTCCCTAGCATGCAGAGATGCTCTGTGGTGGCTAGCTCTGAGATAATCTTTAGGTCAGGTGTGTTACAGCAGAGATGTGTCTAATAGCTGCAGAGAACTGGACTTTGAGTCTATTGGCTCAGTGCTATCGCAGGTCAAGGTATATTTATATAGAAAGCGGGTATGGAAACAGCTTGTATTTGTTGCATCTCAGGTAGCTGTAATCTTAGAGACGAAAAACATACATCAGAGTTGACATTATTCCATCTACCCTCATGTGTTCTCCTGTCTATCTGAGGGATGCAATCAATCTGCTCTTCCTTTTTATTAGTGATTATTTAACCTGTGTAGCACATTTATTGCTTTAATTCTGGCACAAATTTGTTGCTATTTGTCAAATCTATCTAAATCAGGTATATGCTGTGTAATATTAAGCGCCAACGGAACATTTCTTGTGGGAATTTTACTTGTTAAGTCAAAGCAAATAAAGCTCAACTGCTAGTTTGTGCTTTCCGCTCTGCAACTGCGGAGAAGAACTTAGCCGCTTTGTGAGAAATCCGGTGATACAGACTATTTTTAAAGACGACAGACACGAGCAGAGCAGACACTAGAATGGCTCAGCAGAACAGCAACTTTAACTTTTTGTCAGCTTCAAATACAAAAAAAACAAATTTATTACATCGTCATTTGAGAGACAAACACATTGTGGCATGAAACTAGTCATAGAAACAGCACCGATGCTTGGATTTTAAAATGTCAAATAATGAAGAAAATTCTTAATGTTTGGTGTTCTATGCCAATAAAGTTAGCCTTCAGGAGTAAAGACTTTGTAAACTACAGCTGGTACAACTGGTACCAGTGTTTATTAATCCTGGTCCTTCCTCGTTTCTCACACACCGATAACAATTGACAGCAGATTAATGGGGATTACTGAACTGCAATCGTCTGAATCAGGTGTGTTGAAGCAGGAAAACATCTAAAACATGCAGGGTAGTGAGTCTTGAGGAGAAGGGTTTAAAAATAGTGATTTAGGGTATCTCTGGACCCCTTTTTTTTTTTTCGTATTAGCTGGACGTTAGCGTATACTTTGACTGGGCCACTCTAATATATGCTTATGCTCTAACCCTGAGCTGCTAATTATAGCTGTGGCTGTATGTTTAAGGTCATGGCTCTGCTTGCAGTAAACCCCCAACCCACCATTAAGTGATTCTAGCCTCTAACAGTGGTCCTGCTAGGTTTGCCCTGCAGCTCCTGTTATTTCCACTGTTCTCTGACCAGTCGGCCTGATCTGTGTAGAAAAAAATGTCAGAGGCCTAATTTCTGCCATTGGGATGCTGGCTGCTCCCCTCAGCCTGTTACTGTGAATAAAGGCCAGTAATGCATAAAAAAAAATACTTTTAAGATTTACTTTGTTCTTAATTATCATTGAAATGCACTGTATTATTAACTTTTTTTTTTTAACACAAAATAAAACAGGGAGACTGAGACATTATCATTTTAACTAGATACTCATCTGTAAATAATTTAAACTTTGACAAAGTTATTATAAAAATGTTTTTATAGTGCAATTAAAGAATAAAATAAATAACTGGAAAAGGGGTATTATATTTTAAAATACCACTAACACCAGATGTGTATTTAAGTTTATGTATATAAAATATGATGTCAGATTTATTATGTGAATGCTAAAATAGTCGAAATTCTGTTAGAGTCCTTATTGTATTTGATTAATTAGATCCCATGGGGATTTGTCACCACTTTGGTGGAAACTCATGGAGATCCTAATAAATGAACAAAACTAAACTAAATTCCTAAGCATGATGTTCATCATTGAACCCGATAGTTTTACATCACAAATACCTTTTTGTATTTAAGCCAAATATTCAGTTTGTGGCCCCTTTCAAACCAAAGCACCTTATGTCACATATTTTAACAGCCTTTAATCAAATTAAATGCAGATGAGCTCTATTTGCAAAGGAAGGGAATTTGCTAGAAAGCAACAGCATAAAGGAGGCCAAAAAAATTCAAACCCCACTTATCATATTTCTATCTGTGATCAGCTTTATAAAATTACGCTTTTCTCCTGTCCAGATATATTGAATTGTGTGGTTGCATGTGTAGGAAAATGTGAAAAAGCTCAAAGGGGTATAAGCAATTTTTATGGAACCGTAAACCTGAAATAAGTTAATGGAAAATTGACTTCTTAGAAAATCAAACAGTTTAAACAAATTCAAAAAATACGGTTAAAAAAGCCAAATGGATTTATTTTTATCAGCAATTACACTTTTCAATGTTATCTAAAAACGAAGTGTAAAATAGTTAATATCAATCAAATATGATTGATTCATCTATTCTGCGTTTGGAGAGCTGCATCCTCATTAAGTTGTCATTAGGCTTTTAGTGCCAACCTGCTCTGCTGAAGCAATTTAAGTGGAGCTCAATAATACAGACGCCTTACGTAAGACCCACTTCACTTGTGATCAATTATGAAAGCTTTGAGATAATGTAGCAGCAGCTGCAGGCGAAGAAAGAGTTTCAGTGTCTAGGTTTGACAGGCTGGAGAGGAAATGAGGCAAGAAAAAAAAAAAAAGATGCGCTTCTTTGAAGGCTGTTGATACTGATCTGGTGCGACTGTAAATAGCCAGAATCGTTGCTTGCTGTCAGGCTATTTAACGCCCAGTGGTTCTTATGACGGTACAAAGAAGTTCCACAAAGCAGACAAAAAAAGATGAAAGAACCCAAAGCTAAGGGGGAAAAAAAAAGCCCTGGTGTGTGTTTTACTTTGTGCTGGGTAGAACTGTAATGTTTGCACGCAACATCAAAACAAAGCGAATATTCTTTAAGTTCATTAAGCGAAGCATCTCTTACCGAAGGTGGTGCCAGCTTCAGGCCGCGACACTGATGACACGATGACGAAACCGAACCCTTCATTCTCGCCCCGTCGGATCTCCACGTCGTAGGGCTGAACGGCCGAGGCGGGGGCAGCGTTTGTGGTGCCGTTGGGAGGCTGAGAGGATGTGGTCGCAACCGTCGAGGCGGAAACCACAGCATTCCCAGTGACGCCGGCCCCCCCGCCTCCCCCTCCTCCACCGCTGCCGATGCCAGAGGTGGAGCCGCTGCCCGAGCTGACCGTGTTGAGGGAATTCTGGCTGCCTTGCGGGGTGCGCTTCCCCATGTCCTCCGTCAGGCTGGGCGCCTGGGTGCTGCTGTGGTGTGAGGACGCTGGTGACGGAGGGACGTCTCCTTCTGATTTAACTAGATAAGACAAAAGGACAAGGTGAGGAAGGAAACATTAGGGGCAGCAGAGGAGATGTTATGAAGGAAATAAAGGAGAACAAACAAGGTGAATATAAAAGATATGTGACAGCCCCGAATGATCAAGAGGAAAAGAAAATCAAAAGAAACTGGAGAAAGTTGTGTCATTCTATATTATATAAGAGGGTTGGATAAACAATGAACGAGGCACAACAAAGTAAAATAATAAAGCAAAATTACCCAAAAGAATCTTACATTTGTTCAATCTGATAAAAGTCCCTCTTCTCTTTTAATTCCTATTCTACTTCTGCTAAATGAACAACCTTCTCCATCTAATCTGCTTTGAACCTAAGCTAAACTGAACTGACGTGTCCTGCCTGCAGAATCTGAACATTTCATTTCACCCCACATTTCATTTCCTGTACGGCTGCTCAGGGAAGGCGCCTCATACCGTCTGCCCTTTGAGGCAGACAGGGAACAGGCAGTGAACTAATGTCTGGGCTGCCATCATCAGGCCAAGGGTTGAGCATCCTCTATATCATGTTTATGGGTCTTTTCTTTATTGCCTGCTGAGGAATGGGAAGAATTAGGAAGAAGCGGGACGTAGAGCCACTAAGATGAGCGTCGTGGCATCGGTGATGGGGTGAAATGTTTAATTGCCGCAGATGCTGACTGCCTCCAGATCCACAGACTAAAAGTGAAGGAAGGAAAGGGGCTGGCACATAACGTAGAAGGAAGGGCCCCAAACTCCTAACAGAACTTGGAAGGATGGAACTACAGTATGGCAATAAATAAAAACTTATCTTAAGGTTAAATCATAGTAGCATCAAAGCTTGTTATGCAATACTATTCTAAATAAAATGTAATGACACAGCAGGAAAAAAATTAGGGGATTTTTTTATAAAAAAACAAGATGTTAGCATAAAGGAAACTTTAATCTGAGTGTGACCTCTTATCCCCTTAACGAGCTAATTGCATCAGAAGGATATTCTCAAGTTTTATTGTTTATCAACTAGATAAACAATATAGCAAACTAAAAGGGCTGCTGTGATCATTGTTTAGGTGGAATTGTTTTGATTTTTGGTTACTGTAGAGAGACAAGCAACAAACTTCCACTAAATAAATTCTTGAATATTATTTAGCCATAATTTTTAATATGAAAATAAAACTTATGTCATATTATGCTGCTCAGTGACACAGTGGGTAGCACTGCTGCCTTGAAACCAGAAGGTTCTGGGTTCGAGTCCCGGCCTGTGGTCTTTCTGCATGAAGTTTGCATGTACTCCCTGAGCATGCATAGGTTCTCTCTGGGTACTCCAGCTTCCTCCCATAGACCAAAAACGTGACTGTTAGGTTAACTGGAAGCACCAAGCCTCTAATATAAATTATTATATAGCGGCATAATTGTCACTGAAGCTGATGCTTGATCTCAAACCACTGCTCGGACAAAACCAATCAAAGACGAGAGTCGAAGCTCGCTGTTGTGTTCAGCCCCCATTAGACAGCAGCCGGTCACTTATCCTCACTGTTTTTGCTGATCGGTTATAGAAAAGGAAAAAAAAGAACATTTTATGCCAACTAAATATAGTGATTTAAAGGGGTTATGGTATTTGTAGAAGATTGAGCTAATTAGCCGTGGCAGACTTACACACTTATTCCATGAGATAATAACATAATCAAAAAATTAAAACGTCAGAAGTTGGTTATCAAAAGATGTTTTAACATAGAAAAGCTTCCTTCAGAGCTGAATGGCTCTTCGGATATATTTTTAGACAAATAACCTACAGGCAACACTTTAGCTAAGACTAAATAATCAGAGGGAAAACAAGAGAAACAAAATGTTGAGTCCCTTTGCTTTTTTGACAATATATAATAAGAAAACGATCGTCATCTGCATAAAGATAAACTTCCCGATCAATGTGAGGAGGGAGTTAAAGAGGAAATCAATAGAATGGCATCATATCACTGAAGTCTAAGTGTGTGATGCAGCGTACAAAATTAGAACCCAACATGACTAATCCAATTTATCCATGAGGAAAAAAAAAAAAACAATTGAAAAGGCAAAGAACTAAAACTTTTAAAAAGTCCCCCTACTGTTCACAAATACTGCAAAACTAAGATTTAAAAGTCAAGCTTTTCCTTGTTCCTTTTGTACAAATTTAATTAATACCCTGAACGTTTTCCAAATTGCATTTAATGATAACACATCTGTTAAATTCAATATGACCTTTTCTGAATACACTTAATACTTTATAATCCCAAAATCTGCTAAAGACATCAAAAACAAACAGGATTTAGTTGTTTTATCCTAAGTGGTAAATTATTTGGCCAGGAGTCTAAAGCTAGCATTCAAAACTAACCTAGAACTAAATGAGGCACACTATGATCTTCTTAGGCTTTGAAAAGTGATTGATTTGAAAGGTTAAATGAATGGTGAGTAGTTTGCTGCTCTTACCTGTGTAGCTGCTTTTGCGTCGCACAGTAAGATTAACGTGGCCCTGCTTGGCAGCCTGCTGCATCAACTGCACCACCAATTGATGCGACTTGCCCACCACTGCCGTGCCGTCCACGCATATCAGTTCATCTCCGGATCGGAGGCGCCCGTCCTCATCTGCAGCGCCGTACTTTACTATGTGGCCGATGTAGATCTAGAACATAGGCAAAGCAGAAAAATAGGCTCTAACAAGGAGAAAGAAACAACTCATTTATCTAGATGTTATGCAACAATGTATGCTTAATTTTTGCATTTTAGCTCAGAGTTGTACTGTACTTCAAATTTAAACCAACGCCAAATAATATTTTTCCTTGAAAGAAGAAATAACAGTGTTGGGCAGTAAACCTGAACAAATAACAGAATAAAAGAATAGATATCCTGGTGTGAGATCTACTCTTTTTAAAGGGAAAGCTTCTTGTTAAAATCCAGTGATGTGAAGTTGTCAAGAGCCCAACTTCACAAAACAGCCGTAAATATTCTCACTTGAAAGCCGAGGGGAAAAAGCCTTCTTTTTAAATGATTGTTACTGAATTTTCTGAGCTTGATTTCACACAAGGATACTTTACAATTTATTGTACTTGGAGAAGCAACATAAATAGGTTTCATTTCAATCAATACAGTCATTTTTTCAGGGACTTACAGGTTCTCCTGGCTCGTTGCCTCCAAGGATCCTAAAGCCGAAGCCTGTGTCCTTCCTCCACAGGAAAATGTCCTGCTCCTGGAAGTCTGGAACTGTGAAATCAATAAACTGCCATCAGTCATGTTAAGGGAATTCTCTCTATAGCCACCACCAATACAAAAACCCCCATCCAAGACGAGTTTGAAGGAGGACATTAAGCTGGATCCGCATACTGGGATAATAAGAGCTGGAAGGAAGGGAAAACAAATGTTTTGTGTGCAAATGTGAATAATTGTCTCAACTATCACATGTCATTAAAAAAAAAGGAGCTAGCGACTGAGGAATCCAAAGACGAGAGCATTTATTTTTGGTCTAAAGTAGTTTTACACAAGAAAGGAAAAAAAAACAACTAAAGTCTGCTCCCTATCCAAAAATAGAATTAAACAGCTGCTACACTGCTTTGAAAAAAAAACTATTTATATCTTCACTAAACCAACCACAAACCCATTTTTCACAACCCTAAACATACGTATGGGGATTTTATATGATAGATAATAGAGCATCATTGTGAAGTGGAGCCGGAAAATGATGCATATGATGCCTTAATTTGGTCTTCATGTATATTAAGACTCCTCAGTCAATATATGCAGAAGCATAATTCACTGGAATTGCAGCTGTAATGCGTTTAATGGGATTTCTCCTCCACTATGATGCAGAAAATGACATACTGAAAGCAGTCAGATGGTCAGAAAATATTAAAAGATTTTTCATATATTGTTTTTTTTCAAAGATACCGTAGTTAACTCAGGGTTTATACAGGAATGAATAACTCAAATTTAATGCTTTTTAATGCTCTTAGAAATTATTTTAATGCTACCAACAGGTACCCGTCGACAGGCTGCAGCCATGTCCTGAATTCCTCGTTTTCCAACCACTTTTGTTGAAATTAGCTTTTTTTTACCCACATTCTCTAGCTTTTTCTCAGACTCAAGTTTCTTTTCTGAACATGCAGCTTTGCGATCAACCGGAAGCAGTTCCACGCAAATATATCATGATATATGTCTGACGAAATCAATTTTTATAAAAAATGTTTTTAATAAAGCATTTTAAATGCCACAATAAACACATTTAATGAATTTTAATGCCAATTAAGGCCTTAATTTAAAAAATAATAATTTAATGATTTTTAATGACCCCCAGAAACCCTGTAACTTTTGCATCACATTAGCTTCATTTGAGATTTATGATTTTTCAGGTCAGTATCCAGCATATGTTGTGTATTCGATACTCTGTGCGGGAAACTCATCTCAAAAACTTGCATATGTAACTTGAGAGTGTCGGACTGGACACTGAGTGAGTCGTGTGACCCTGAGCAGTACTTTCCAGTCTGAGCTCCTCTTGCTCGCTAACTGAGATAAATGCTATGTAGTAACACTGCAGTGCTGCTAGTGGCTAAAAGCTACATTGCTTCAAGATAAACAAAAAGAAAATAGGCATCAGCATAAGTATCAGTTAAATTTGCAGCCTAATGTTTTTTAAATTTTTATCTTTAAATCCTATGCTTGAGCTTTCAAATATAATATATGGTATTTTTGAATTGTACTTAAGAGCGGCGAATGGCCTGTGGGAATGATCTGCTCTACCAGCTTTGCATCTCTCCAGAAACTGCTTCATAAACTTCTCAAGTCCTCCGGGAGTTCCTTGTCTTAGGTGCCATCTATCTTACTGTTGACGGCGAATGCATTGCCTGCTCCCCATCTTAATTGTTTGACTTCATGTTGATGTATCGCATAAAATCCAAATACACATATTAAAAATTATAGCTGTAATGTAACAAATTGTGCAAAAAAAAAATGGCATAGTAAATGGGGATGCTTGGACTTGAGTTAACATTTCTACAGATGCAGCTGTGCGTTTCTGAGCAAAACCCCAGAGATATTTGAATGAACTTCATATCATGTGGCTGCTGCCAAAACCACCAAAACCAAAAAGATTCCTGTTACCAATCTGTCCCTTTGGTCAACATTTAAAATCCATGCAGAGAGTAGCTCTTCCGACCCAAAATGTTTCTGTGGAGCGACCAAAAAGTCAAAGGCTAACTGTTGCAATCTGCCCATGGCGGTTATTAGATCCATAAGTGATCCCTGTGGTGAGGCAACTGGGCATACGAGGATGTTTCAAAAATAGACGTGCAGAGCCAAAGCAACAGAACGCTTGTTTCAAACATTAGGAAAATTAATCTGGGAACATGTTAAAGCCCAAAGATAATCAAAACAGAGGCCAATAAAACATGAAGCCTCCAACCTTTTCTGGCCCAGCTAATTTGATGTAGGTCAATGATGTGCCAGTATTTGAAAGGATTATTTGTGAAAATGGAAATCATTCAAGCCATGATGCATGGAGAGACCTTGATCTCAGCAGACCGTGTTATTACAGTGAAAGCAAAAGTAGAAAATTTCTTTGCCTGAGCCCTACGGAATGAATACAGAAGGACTTTAGAAATGAAAGCTCACAGCAGCATGAGGGGGAGGGAGAGGATTCACGCCTCCTGATAGGGGTCACCTGTCCTCTCTAATTCCAGGTATTCCTCCTGACCTTTCTCTGCGTTACATTTTCCATGTTTGTTATGGTCTGTTCTCCATCGGATGCTTTCAATTCACTTTCATAAAAAAAAAAAAAACATGATTCCTTAATCATTGTTCTTATTTGTCTCTATCTGCAATGAGGTAACTAACTGAAGCAATTTTGGAAATCTACCACATTAAAACTGCCTTGGAGAATTATCTTCTATCTCAGGTCTGGTTCTTTTCCCCTTCCTCCTCACTTTTTGCCTTTACTTTTTGCAGAAGCATTTTCTACAGGCCACTAAATAATGAAAAACTCGCCGACAGGAACTGCCTGGGCATCTGCTGAGATGTTGTCATTTAACTGCACTTGCACTCATGTGTTTTCTTTCTTTCTTTAGCTTTAAAACTGACAGAGGGTCTGAGGGTTATTCTTATTAATTGGAGCTATCTAGTAGAGCGGTAATTTGAAAAAAAAAAAGTGCTTTGGAATCTACTAAGATGTACGTCTACCAACACTGTGAAAAAAAATTGCAAGAGGTTTTAGTGCTAAAGAATGAACTAAAGAGGAATCGTTAGACCATCATTTGAAAAGACAGAAAATATTAGCTAAAAACTCTTTTTTTCTGGGATATAATCTGCAATCGCTGGTTACCATTGGTGAGCTTTGGTTGCATCATCCAGGAATCGGTTAATGGCTAAATTAGCTGACATTTGGATGTCCAAATTATGAGGACATCCAAATGTCAGAATGAAGGCAAAATGAAACTGAAGATCAAGGGTGGTAGAAAAGCTTTAGGTCAGATTAAAAGCAGCACTTCACACCAAAAGTTAGGGCTAACTTAGCGTAACACAGTGAGAGCGAGAGGAAGACAAAATCTAACTGGTTTATGTCTGCTCTGTAAGTAACAAACAACGATGTACGTATTTGGACATAGTCAAGCCAACTTTAAAATCTCGCTTTCAGTGTTAGCTAAGCTAGGGTAAATGTGGTATGTTAGATTTCTTTTCAGATGAGGGAATCCAGCACCTGAAAATATACAAGAACATACTTAATGCTGCGTTTTATTTGCCTCTGGTGGATACATTTAGATCTGGGAAATAATGTCCCTACCAAGCTGGAATTCAGGGGGATTTTTAACTACTATACTGCTAATAGCGTATGGTTGTTTTTCCCCTTTGTCAGTTTTTGCCTTTGAAGTTTTGTTAATTTTTTCTAAAACTGATCTAATACCAACTATGGATCACTTTGTACACACCTTTGAGAATTTTCTATAATATAAGGAAATGCAGCTATAGGTCCAATAAATGGTTGATATTTTTATGCTATCAGAATATATGATAATTTTAGATTTTTGATGTTGGTACTTAAATAGTTAGGAAAATACTGTACCTCAAGCAGTAAATGAACATGTTCATAAACAGAGGTTGTATTGCACTGTATCCTGGTTGTTTAATGAGATACAGGCAGTTAGAAGGGGAAATAAGAAGGAAGTCTACATATCCTACTTTAGAGAACAAAGAGAACGCAGCATAAGAATGTTCATAGCACTAGGCTCAGTTCAGAGTCTAAAACCGGCTACTTACACACAGGCCTCGTTTCCCAAAGCTTCAGCTTGCAAACACACCAAGGGTCTCCGTCCCACTGCCCCATGCAGCCCTCATCCAACCGCCACCAAAAATATATATACTTACGCCTACTTTCATACATGCTCCTGGACTGGGCCCAGATCTTAAAGGGGTCTGGTTTTCGGTGGGTGGTTCCGTCTCCTTGAGAGTCCTGGGAAGGCAGGCCAGGCAAGGGCTGCGACGGGGCCGGCGGCGTGCTGCTCTCACTGAGAGGGGGTGCCAGAGACGAGTGCACAGGCGAGTCGGTGTGGGCGCTCCGATGGCTGGAGACGCTATGCTGGGAACTGTTCTGACTGTCCTTCCTGGACAATTGCTGTAAAGGAAGTAGATCAATATCATTTGACTCTTTAAAACAGGCTTTAATGGAGCATGGACGATTAAACTCAAGAGTTGACATATAAGGGTTATTGAATTTTCTGCTGCAGATAAGACAGAAGGATCAGGGATGTGGCTGTGGAGAGGAGAAATGGAGACGATGAAGATATGAATACAAAAGAGTTTCACATTAAAGCGCCAAGAAAGATGAACAATTGCTTCTCCTCAGGGTAAAAGGAAGCAGACTCCAAGAGCGTGTCGCTGCGGCTGCGTTTCCACCTTAATCAACTAACAGAATAATCAAGGCCTTTCATTCAGAGAAATTCCTTTGGCTTACAACAGGACAGAGAAAGATCACGTAGTGATTTTTCATGATTAAGTCATTCAACTGAGCAATGCAAACACTGTGGATCAATTTAGAAAGGGCCATACTGCCTAGTCCTTTTGTTTAGCAGAGGGGGGGAGTTTTAACAAAGAACTGCATTCCATGCTGCATAAGGAGGAAAAAAAAATATTGCAGTGAATGAAGCACTTTTGGGTTTGAAATGATGGTTTTACTGGAAAAGTCATAAATTGCACCCGGCCGCTCAATTACATGGGTGCTTAAACACTTGGATTTGAGGTGTCTGAATAAAGCACATATACTTCTTAGCTCAAGTGTAAGCTGACAGCCTTCCCAAGGCATATTTTATTTAATTTTTTCACACTTTATCCGTAGTGTGCAAAAATCACCCTGCTGTGACGATTTCAAACAGAAAGCAGCAAAATTAAAGAGTTACAGTCAGAGCATGGGGGAAAAAAATGACAGCGGTTAAGACTGTTCACGTTATGTGGCTGCATGACTTGGGATATGAAGGATAAAAATAGTGGGGCTAGGGGTGGGAGGGGGTCGTCAGTTCTCAACTATCAAAGTGTTTGGCCTTCAAAGTGCAGCTATGTCTTCAATAAATTCTGACTCATTACTCACTGAATCTGCCTCCCACACCTCTGCAATTCATGTTTATATTCATAATCCTTGTTAGACATAAAAGAAGCTTGATGCTCTTGAAAATATTAAGTGGGAGCGGCAAATTGCACTTGGTGGTTTGAGTGGATGGCAAAGTTGAAAATCGATAGTTAAAGGAAGAGGAATGCTATTGTTTTAGGCTAACAACACTTCAGGACTCGTTTCATCCGTCAGTTCACTAAATTATATCCTCTCTGTTTTTTTTCTTTCAAGTATATGGAACCTTTTTTGTTCGAGCCAATATTTCTTTACCTTAAGTGTTCGATGCACATGAAGTCCAGACGTCCCTCTCTTTTCAAATGAAAACAAATCTCTTGTTCTTGATGGATCTATTAGTTTTGCCCCCCCCCCACTCTCAGAATTCTCCCTTAATGTACCGGTCTGAGGCATTGGTTTGTCCTGCACCAATAACGTTGATTGGAGGAACAAGAAGACGACAGACAAGGTGGGAGGTGTAGGATCATGCTGCTTTAATGGTTGCTGCTATCCACAGAGGACAGCTGCCGCTGCTGAAGTATGTTGACGTTTGGTTCAAGCTACATTTACAAACCGCAGAAATGATCACACCTTTAGATGCCAGAGGCTCCTCTGGAGACGCAGATTTGTGAAGCATAGAGTAGAGTCGTGCTCCCTCTCCCCAACCTGTTGCTGCACACTGCTGATCAGCTGGCTTTTAAAAGGCTCTTGTGTTTTTCCTCTTGCTAAAGAACGTAAATGTAGCTGTTCAGAAACAAATGACTCCCAGTAGTTTTAGAATGTTAAATTTGACCCTCCTTAAAATCTTTTAGGGTCCATTATATCCTAAATTATAAGACTCAATAAATTATTTACTCACTGGTTTAATTTTAGACCAAACATAAATCAATAGCCACCAGGTGGCAATGTTCCACCCACTTTGACAAATGATTATTTAAGCTAATTTTTTCTATACTCTAATCACTGCCTGCTGTAAGGAAACCTGTTTATATTAAATTTCTCCCAGCATCAGATTGGTTATATTTATTCAAATCGATGAGTGTTCATACCTACAATATCTAATAGGGGCTAACAGAACAAAAAGGAATGCATATAGTGTCTAATAAAGAAATATCTCAATGACTGAATGTAGGAATGTACAAATTGCATTTCAAAGGGATTATAGGATCTCCACGCTAACAATGGACGAACACGGCGCATAATTGTCACATCAGCATCAAAAAGAGGGATATTTTCTCAATGCAATCAGTATTCTGGACATTTTACTGGTTTTTCAGGAAAGCACTAACTTTACCACGGAACGTCCTGTTACATAAAGTCAACATTTGGCTCCCTAAGGTTAAACATTGTTTAAAACAGATGAGGGCATCTGCCTGTAAAGCGGCTAACTTTAGGATCTGCCTGAGCAGACAGTCCGACTAGCAAGGTACTGTCAGCTTTTTTAATCCTGCGATACTTCATTAAAAGGTTTACTCTGTGAACAAAGCAGAAGAAACCTTCAACCTGATTCAGTTTTTTTAAATTAAGCCTTTATCTTTTAATTACTAATAATGTTTTAGATCAAATTAAAGATGCACTATGAATATGACCAATAGTAGGAATGATTGTTGCTCTAATTATCTGTTGAACATTTCTTTGTCAATACTGTAATATTGGTGTATTTTAAATGGTTATAATAGAGGGAGAACACAGGCCAATGCCTTTTCTACACTTAGTACTCCTTGAAATGAAGCCACCACCATGATATACCCAGCACCAACACCTCATACACAGAACCTTCCAAACTTTCTAAACATCACATACCATCCTAGTGTAATCTCTGTATGGAGGAGCCCGGTCATAATAATCCTGCAAAACAAACAAACAAACAAAAAACAAAAAACAAACATGCATTGAGTGAGACGTGGTGGAAGGGGTCTAATAGTGCAGATGTCTCTCTGCCATGATCACACGTTCTGCTCGCACGCTCCAAACCAGCGTGAAGCCATAATCAGCCTGTTAGCAACCCAGCTCACGCGGAGCATCAAAGCCCCTCGTCCCATCCTCCACCAGCAGAGGGGCGGGGGGGATCTCATGAAAAGCTACAGGGATCCGCCCCCGCAAAGCATAGCACCCCATGTCAACAAACAGAGCAACATCATCATCACAAGTTCCAGCACACAGGGTGGGGGGTGTGGGAGGCTGCGACCAGGCAGTAGAGATGGCTGAAAATGAGTGGCAATGCCAGAACTTACCAGTTTGGGGCTCTTCTTAGCAGGTGCCACTCCTGTGAAGCCAGACAGAGGAGAGAAAAAGACAAAGGGAGATGGTTAACGTTGGAGTTTTTAATCCATGTTCAGATAAAAAGTGAAGGAAAGGAAAAAAACAAAAACATTTCATAGCGCAGAGTCCCAAACAATGTCAAAGAGGCGCTCATCTAACCCTCAGCCCCTTTACTGCATCTTATTTCTTTCCCTGCTGGGTGCCTTTGCTTGCCAATCCACAGCTAGCGTTCGAGGAAGGGATAGAGGGGGTGGGATGTGGCGGGGTGGGGGTCTAGGCAGCGCTATCTATCTGCATCACCGCCGTGTCCAGTATTCAGCTTGACTGGCGCAGCGAGAGAGTGGGGCTGGCCCCCGAGGGCTTACCCGGCGCTCGCTAGACCCCGGCTACACGCATCAGAGAGAGAGAGAGTGCGCCTGTGTGCGTGTTTGAAGAAACAAAAGTGTGAGCTAAGAGCGGAGGAAAGAACGCTGGTGAGCAATTAAGCCGAGGAATAAAGAGAGAGGAGTAAAGAAGAGAAAAGCGAGCTTTGTTCGGGAGTTCCTGGCCGAAGGCATTACCCATGGAGAAGGAGTCCAAGATATTGAACATTAAATTATAGGCAATCGTCAGTTCCCCTCTTACTGAGACCATCTTCCTGTGTCCGCTGAGCGCTGCGCTCCGCTGTCGAAGGCTCCAGCATCTATAGGCAGTTGGTGCGTCCTCCAGGTCTCTCCCTTACTTTCTGGCTTTTTTTTTTTTCTCCCACCCGTCCTCCCTCTCTCTCACCTCGCCGTTCACTGTCCTCCCTCCCGTTTTTCCCTCAGCATCATTGCGCTCTCTCTCTCCCTCCCTTTTCCTTCTCTACGCTCTATCTCAGCTTCCCTCCCTCAAACGCTGGTAAACATCTATTCTGCGCCGCGCAGGCACACACATACCCAAACGCACGCACGGATGCAAGCATCAGATGGCTGCATGCAGTAGTGGCTCCAACACAAATCAAAGTGTGCTTGAGGTATGACGGACGTGTTTCTGCATGAGCAGGCAGGAAAAAGAAAGGAATCATTGCAGAAATATCAGGATCAGACACCTACGCTTGGAAAATAAAGAGTGACATGTTGCTGGAATGCGTGGAAAGGCCTGCATCTAGAGAGGGACAATTTGTTTCTGAAATACGACTGACCTCAACGCCTCCCCTGAGTCCACCCTGCTTCTTTTACTAACAATGTAGGAAACAATTCAAGAGACGACTACCCTTTATACAACCTAACAATGCGTGGACACCACCAAACCGGCAAAATGAATAAAAACGTGCATGAATCGAGGCTACTGGGTTCTGTAGTGTGAATTCTTCAGGGAATCTGAGAGGATTTCGATCTTGCTCACACATGCATGCACACAGGCTCCACTCAGCTTTATCTCTCAGACATCTGGGTTCATTCACAGCTGACAACTCCAACTGGGTTACGTCTGCAGTAGTTTTCTTCCAAGTCCTTCTTTCCTTCAATTATTCTCTCCCAGTTTCCCCCCCGGCCGGCTGTTTGGAGTAATTTATTAAGGGTCTGTAGTAATACTCTCTCTTATGGAAAGGGATGCTGACAGTCGACATTGGAGATGCTCTCATCAGGCTTTTTCTATGCATCAACAGTTTTCTTTAAAGTCTAACCAATTTCAGATTTTTTTTTTACACTACATCATATAAATAAAAATATAAGGAGCAGAAGGATTCCTGCTAGAAGTAGTAGTATTAAATCCAACAGAGAGTGATAAGATGATGTGATTTTTCCCATTAATGGGCTCAAGTATATAATCCTTATGCTTAACTGGTGATTATTATTCTAAAACAAAGAAGTATCAAAAACCACACTGTATTGATGTGTTTATGGAATGGAAATTGTGGAGGTTTTCCTTTGTGATTAAGGCTTGATTCCGATATTTGAATTTGGATAATCTGATAATTTCCTGAAATCAGAGGTCTGTTTGCCTCAATGTTCTTATCAATACTGTTAATTTTTTTAAAAGGCGAGTGTCTTCAGTCAGAGCCTTCCCCAGATACGGTGCAACACAGACAGCTACAGAATATCCGTCTTGCCTACAGCTGTCAACACCTGCATAAAAAAATAACCTGAGTTACTGCAACATTTCATTTCCCTTTGGCATTAACATAGTATTTTTGAACTGAATCGAACTTCTCTCTACGAGCAAATAGCAAGCATGTATCTCCTGGAAGGCAACTTGAGATTATTAAAAGGTCAGAAAAGGAAATCAATAAACCAGTAAATCATGTTAACATGTTAAATTCCATCCTGAAAACACAAAAGCAACTATAAAGGTTCTGATTGACTGTATTTATTAAATCAAAGGCGGACGTCCATAACGGGGTATAATTTTTCTGGTGTTCAAAATGTTTTTAACCTAACCTAGATTTATTATATAAGTAGACTAAATTGATCTGCCCCCTTTTCATTAATACCCGACAGATAGATATTTAAATCAAATTGGTGGATCTGGTGTTTTTCACGATAAATGATGGAAGTCCAGCAGAAAATGAAATAACATGATCCTCTGAATGATTGGTGTAACTGTCAGTTGGTGGGATTATAAATTAAAAATGAATGAAACTTCAGACAGCTGAGATCAGAACAGATCGAAGGAAAACACATCGGGTTCGATCCCTGTCCGGTTGATCGGTGCATATCTGGTGAAAAAGTCGAGATAGAATTTCATTATTCTTTATGAATCAATTGCAGCCAATTTTTATTCCCTAATACATTCAGGGGGGGAAAGAAAGAGATTGCAGGTGTAGCAGATGTTCAAATATTAACAATTCAAACAAGCTACCGGCTTCTCAAAGTCTTGATAAAAAAAATCTATAATTTTTGAGGCTAAACATTAGTTAAAATAATTGAAAGATAGAGCCATAAATCACAGCAGAAAACACAAAAAGTGAATGCTACAAAGGTCAGCATTAAAATTGCAGGGAGAAGCAGATCTGCTGGCTTTTGTGTGCGAGTAGGCGTAGCAGCAGAATGTGTTTGAAGCTCTCAGATCAAAGGCATGGTGGATGTTTGGACCGACCTCCGTACCCAATTACCCACAAGAGGAAGGAAAGAGCAGTTTTAGACAGGTGGGCGAACCGGCCTGCACTCTGGCTGCCCATGAAGTAGCGCTCCTCTCAATCCTTCAGGCTCAAATATAAAAATGAACCATGACTGCTGAAGGGTTTATTCTTTTCTCTGGACTTTACCTGTAAATGCTTCCTTTAAATGACTGACCACAACTTGTCTAACTGACCCTCATGATTAACAATCCATTCTCTTCAGTACAGAGACCAAATACACAGAGATGTAGAGAGGAAGTAGCAGGAGACTAGATCGAAACAATTTTTAGCAATCTTTCAAGCAGAAGCTCAAAAATTTGGTCCATATTTCAGATCAGTCAACACACTAAATCATCTTATTAGGTTAGGATATCAAAAACCCTCTTCAGCGGGGAAAGCGTTACTAAACCAATAAGACTCCATGTAAGCAGATATAGATATAAAAGCCAGCTTTAAACTCTAGCTATATTTGACCTTATGCAGAGACCTACTTGAGGTTCATGCATGTTGCAATACGAGAGAGAGCATCACCTTCAACGTCTCTTTGTCATGCAACATACCGAATTTGAAAATCTCACTCAGAATTCTGCAGAGAATACACCCTATTATGTCATTTTTTAATGCTCTTTGCAATATTTGCTGCTACGGGATGCTAAACAGCTTAAAAAGTTCCAAAACTTTTGTCTTTTTTTATATATTAAACACCCGTTATGCAGGGAACTACTCCATCTTGCAAGTTATGACGTTACCTCTGCTCTTAATAAATAATATAAACAATAAATATCCAATCGAGTTAGAAAAGCTAAATTAAATTTAGGTAGGAACTTGAAGATCTGATCACACTAGTGACTGGTGCATCTTCAAAATCAAGCTTCAGACTAATCATATTCCATGTCTAGAGATTTATTTGTGAGAAAAAAAACTTCACTGCTTGAAATGAGAAAACAATAAAGGCAGCTTGTAATTTACTGTGTACCAACTCTGATTTGTATTGAGTTAATGCAGCTTGGTGTCATTGTGTACGTAAAAAAGCAATCTGCAGAATGTGCAGTTCAAAAATAAAAATTTGGGATCAGTACAGTGTGACAAAAAAAAAACACGGCTCCAGTCAACAGACAGGAACTGTTGCAGCAGCCTGGCATCACAGCAGTCTCTAAACGGAAGACATTACTAAGCAGCTTAGTCAGTCTGTCCAAGGCGTGGTGCGTACGCATGTACGCCGCGGTAGATCTTCCTCGGAGCGATGGCTCCCAACAGGTGGGTCCATCTGTCGCCGTGGCGACAGTACCTGGTGACTGTGACCACTAGTAGACCGTTTCCAAGCAACAGTTGTTGTAGCGAGCTGAATAAGTAACAAGCTCATATGAGCAGTGAGCATCTGTCTGTTGGACGGCAGCTTGTTAAATGCCTCCATGCTTCTGCAGAAGACATAACATCTTTGATTAAACGTTTTTAGGTTGTCCTGGTTTTTAAAGGAGCAGGGTAAAACTTCCCACCTCCCATAAACGTTACATTCACTCTGATGGAAACCTATGGCAGAATGTCGGCAGAGCATCGTCATGGAAACAAAAAGGCGGCGCAGGGGTAGATATTTTCCTACTCAGCCACTGGCGATGGAGGTCTAAAGCCGGGGCAGACTGGTAGAGGAGGAGAGAGAAAGCAGTTCCCCTCGTCTCAGAGCAACAAGCAGTGCTTCACAGGACTTTGCCTCCAGCAAACTAAATGTGACAAAAGGTGAATCATTGGCTCCTAGCGAGAAGGCCCTCACCCCCACCACCTCAGCACCGTTTTCCTGGGCCGCAGTGCTGTTCGTTATGGTGCCACTGGAACATTCAGTCAGCAGAATTTTTTTGTGCGAACGGAGCAAAAATACAATGCTTCCTGGCCATACAGTAAATTGATTTCCTGCTTTGGTCTATGCGGGG